ACCCTAGTTTCGTTACAACGTCCCGGAACGAGCAGTTATTTTGTAACGTCCCTAGGGTCGTTGCAAACAAACTGGTCGTTCAGGGAGGTTACAACCACCCTAGGGTCGTTGCAAACTAACTGAAATCGCATACTCCCTGTAACATATACACTCATTTTTTGCATAAGGTAAATAGTTTCCGAGAAAAACGCTCGTGAAATTTCGCTAAATCGATTTAGATGTGTCATGGAAACGTAGTCATTATCCTTTCATGTAATTCATCTATTTGACCGGACATATATTGCCTGGATAGGTATGTTGAAGATTTGAATGTCTGAAATGGTAAATAGATCTTGTTGATAGTCTTCATAAAATTCAAGCTTATAACAATAGAAAATTAAGGTGGCACTACGTGGAGAATACACAAATACCGCAGGGTGACCCCTCGAGAATGAAATAAAATAACACATGATCACCACGCTTTGTTCACACTTGCAGCAGAGAAAAGTGGCACATAGCTGGAAAGGCCATTGCTGACCATTTGATATGAAACAAAAAACGAATTCGTTTCACTTCTCTTCAGCTCAGGGAAGGCGTTCGAAATGATCACCCTGTTTCGGGCAACGCAGCTCGGCTTGGCACTGGGAGCGGTATGCCATTCACCGCATAGAAGGCCCATAAATGTCAAGCGCCAGTCGCGCTTCGAACCCGGGAGTGTTATAACCGGGAACGTGTGCTCTCACCACGCAGAGTCCAGCGCTCTAATCTTTCTTTCTTTCTTTCTTTCTTATCTTTCTTTTTTTCTTTCTTTCTTTCTTATTCTTGTCTTTCTTGGACAAGATGATCTAGTTATATTATAATTTTTAGTTTAAAAAAATCGCTTGATTGCCACCTCAGGTTCTAATCATTGGGGTAACAGGAATATGATGGATTAATTCGCCTGCAACATCAATTGGCATACCGCTCCCAGTGCCAATCCGAGGGCAGGGTGGTCATTTCGAGCGCCTGCACTGAGCGTAAGAGAAGCGGAACGAATTTGTTTTTTGCTCCACAGTCCACATCAAATGTCCAGCAATTGCCTTTCCAATGATGTTTCACTTGTTTCTGCTAAGTGTTAACAAATCGTCCATGTGTCACACTCCAAAATGATCACCCGGGTATTACGCGTATATTTAGGCACTCCGCATGTATGTATGAGAATCACGCCACTGCCGAACAGGTTGTGTGTTTATGCCTTGTATTAAGATGGTTTCACATAAAGATTTGCGGCCAGGTTATGATAAATCCATTTACCTAAAAATTAATGCAAAGTCAAATTATGACCATAAAACAAACTGGAGAGCACAAAAAATATTGAGCAGCATTAAGTCGTGGCTAGGTAACAATTAGCAATTAGTGATGTCTTGAGTACCTACCTACCGAAAACAATTAGTGCTTTTAACGAAAGCCTCGTAAATGTGGCTAGCATAATACCTCACGTAATCACAGTGTCAAATAACTTAATTGAATTTGGAACTGACACCCAGTCACATTAAAAAGTGTTTTATGCAAGATGCGAATAAGCATTTGACGACCTAGACAACCGAAATTAATAACAGGTACATTTTTTATAAACGCCAGCACGCCGGCCCATCCAAACGTCATCAAATTATGCGTCATGAGGATAGGATGAACGAATATGAACTACAAGACATGAACTGGGTCTGGAATGTGACATTTAGGACTTAATACGGCTGCATAAAATCATCACTTGGCCCTGGTCCTCTCTTCCAGAGGCATGGGTCTATCCCCGAGAACGTGCTCTCGGGTGGTAGCACCTGTTCACTTCCTGTGACCCCATCTGAGACACACCCATTTCGAGCACTCTCCGGGTAATTTTTCCCGCCCGGCCCGGCTGGCGCGGTCCATCTGACTCCACATGAGTCGTACAAGACGCACCGATCGCGCCGCAAATGTCGCCGATACGTCACGAAGACGAGCAGCGCGGCCCGCCGGTGTGAGTTCTCCACATTTGTTGCAGCCGTATGCGTAAACACGCCCCTCGATGCCCATCATGCAGATGGTTTTTGCATAGCTGCCAGTGGCTCCAATGGGGTCATGTTGACTTTGGCAAACGGCGCCGTGTCGCGTGCAAATTGACACCGCATTAATAGTGTCACACGGCTGGCCAGGCGCGACATGTTGGACCAGTAACAGCTGAGGCATTCCTTGATGAACGGCTTGACAACAGCGCTACCGTGGGCCACTAGCCAGTGAATGGATCCACCGAACGGCTCTTATGCGCCCCTCTGTGCACCATTGTGCGCTGTGTGTGCCGCGAACGGTCATATACGCCTCCGCACATCCGGTGTGTGCCTTTCTGACACCGAACTGTCCACACACGCACACATTGCGCGGTCCCGGTGTCACCGTATTTCCATCACAAAAATAGAATAGCTCTGCTGTGGAGGTGGCGCAGCGGTGGAACGGGACGGGGGAGGGACGGAGGCCGGTTGAGAGGCCCGTGAGACAGTTGCAAATG